GTTCTATTTCAGAGACAAGGATGAGGAGTTTAGGTGGGAACAATCTTTGAATCAACATTTTACCTTCAATTCTTTGCTTCACTGGCTTCTGACAGTTTGGCAAATTGGGGGTCATCACATTTAAAAGAAATGCTTCCAAAGCCTGACAAATGCAATCTATAAAAGATAATCCAAATTCCAAAAGTCTGTGCAATTTCCTGTAGTTCCTAACATTCCAGCTCGAAAAGTTACCTGATTTAAAACTTAAGCCATTCCTTTTGATGGTATCATTTTAGAAAAAGCATAATCCAAATTATGAGAAAATTAAGGTAACACTGGAAACTATACACCAAACACTCAAGTCTATGTCGTGTTGTTACTTCAGGTAATTTTGTTAATGGGGAGGATACATAGGAATTAACTTTTGTCTTCGAAAATGTTAAAAAAAATTTCCAATTTGGCATTTTCCCAGAGGTTCCACTATGTATACGTATGTTCAGAAACATGCTGCTGATGAGACACAAAATCAAAGAAAGCCATCTGACCTCAAGTATAAGAACTAATTTGAAAAGTTAAGAGTTAACCTGTCATATAAATTCAAACTAAGTATTTAGGAGCCAACTCTATGACTAAGGTTTCTGTGATTAACCTAAGACTGTAAATCTGTAACTAAACTCTCTCAGTAGATCCAATACTCGGTACGAGAGAACGTTTAACAATTTCTTCCTGACAGCAGCCCTCACATTGTCATGCCGTTGTTTCTACTGTCATGGGATAACCTCCTCTCCCTCTGAAATTAGAAATATTTATAATTTTATCTTTTAGCCTATTAATGTGTCCAAGGTATTAATGCGACCAATAATGTTAAAGGTCATGTTTTGCTCTGCCCTGTTATTGACTGACCTCAGTCACTGAAACCAATAGTTCCTTCTATGATATAGGAATTATATGAGATACATATGTCTCCTCAGAGATTCACTAGTCTTAGACCCTGAAGTTTTCACACTCCCCCATTTGAATGACATATTAGCTTCAATAAATCTCTTTTATTTCTAGTAACAAAGCTAATTTTCTCTATACCTCTTTGGAATTAGATACTGTTGGCTGGTCAAAATGGTCCCTTTAAAGTAAGTGTCCATCCCTCATCTTCCCACGGCAATACTATAAAACTGTGGTACTTTACATAGTTTGTAGCCTGCAATTTAAAATTCAGTATAAATCCCTTCTTGGCCAAAGCTAAAAGCAACTATTCCCAGATTTCTACTTAGGTTAAGTAGGAGTCATGGATCCTAGACTGCCTACACTTCTGTTCAACATACTTTCCTAATTAGTCTATATTCTACACAGATGCTACATTTCCCATGAAAATATTTTTATGCTGAAATACTCAAATGGTATACATCAGAATAAGACTTCACAAAGATACATTAGTTTGGAACAAACAACCCAAGAAACTCCCCCAAAGTGAATATTATCTTATTAAGGAAAGAAGTCCAAATTCTTCTATTTTGAAATTCAAATTTGTCTTGATAAACATTAACCAGTGATGGCATACATTTCCTGATTCCATATAAACACTAAATTCCCTAGGTATACTGCCCATTATGTCAAATATTACTTAGAGATCAATGCAGAAATGAACTGGGTAAAAACCAGTACCATAACCTTAATTAAAGAATGGGTATGGCCTCAACCAACTATAACCAGATTACAAAATTCAAAGAAAGATGAAGAATTGGCTACTTTTAGGGAATCTTTAAAATATCTACTATTTTGGATTAACCTTTATACACCAACTTGATATATATATATATATTTTTTTTTTTTTTTTTTTTTTAAATCGTTACCTTGCCATAGTTACAATCCCTTTCATGCATCACCAACCAACCAAAGGGTACACCCTGCAAGCCTGCCCCCTGGTTGTCAGCACACAGCCCCTTTCCCTCTCTGGGTCTAAAGTCCTCAGCTGCTCCATCTCTCCACATCATCGTCTGTGCCTCCATCTCTGGCGTCACTGCTGCTCTGGGTACGGTCCCGCAGTCCACTCTTGTCCCTTGGTGGTCCCAGGGACCTCTACTCCTGGCCTGCAAAGTCAACCACTTCCTTCCGTTTGCTTAAAAATGTCTACCTTTACATTTCCAACCCTCACAATCAGTCCTAATATTAATTATTCACTGTTGGACCACATGAGTGGTACCCCCATCTCTTTTCACTTGATATTCTTTTTTAAAATGAGTTTCTTATTTTTGTACTGCTTTGTAAAAAATTGAAAAGCAATTTTACTGAGAACACTGGTTATAATTTTACTACCTTTCAGGATGACAATGACAGGGAAAATCAGATGGCAGGTAGGAAGGAGGAAGAAAAACACCTAGCGTAACAGTAATGTGCAAAACAGACTTTTAAAAAGTAAGAATGAGGAATTTGACATAAAAACAAACAAACAGGAATTCAAATGATATGGATCACATGTAATTTTTAAGTCTAAAAATTGGCTTTCAAGTAGCTGCCAAGCATGAAGGTGCAGGAGGCACCACCCTCTGCCAAATGGCTGGGTGGTTGAGGCGGAGAGTCCCAGAGCCGGTTCTTCAGGTATACAATAAGTGTAAGTTTTGAAGATGTATAAAACTTATTTATCAATGTTTTCCAAAGCTTTGTCAGAGAGAATGGCTATGAAAAATCCAGTCGGATCACAACTGCATGTTATAATTGGAACCAAAGCCTACTTCCTATACACAGTGTGGATGAATGTTCAGGTCCTCCCCCCTGCTACTTGAGAATTCTTCATTACCTCAACTGTGGTATACATCATTTTTGGGGAAGGAAAAGTGAAGAATTGGTCATGAAGACATGAATAGAAATATGTAAAGAAAATCTATATTTTATTTGACATTGATAATCTTTTTCACAATAATTATTTACAAAATACATGTTTGGATGTTTAATATTCTATTTGCTGGGTGATAAAATCTTTTCTTCTGTTTTAAAAATATATAGCTGAAGTCTTTAGACAGGTCCATGTTAATAGTCACTTAGCAGACCTGTTTATAATATATTTCCAGCAAGGATAAAATGTCTTTGTCCCTAATGAGCTCATTTGCGGGGGATGACTGTTTGGAGAGGTCCTACTAGTTTCAGACTACAAATTCGGACTACAACAAACAGAAATACAGTTTGTTGCTGGAACATTCTAACACCACATTTAATGATAAATAGCCATGAAATTGCTCATTATGGGTAAAGGCTTTTCCTTCTGTAACCTAGGTACTAAGAATAGAATTTTTACATGGAAAAATTCTGTTTTTAGAAATTAGCTTTGCCTTCTGAAACTCCAACAGCTGTATAATCTCTGGTGCTATTAGGTATTCAAGAAATATTTTTTGAATGAATGATTTGGAAATAAAATAGTTGAATTACTTGACACTCCTGTAGAGAGTGAGCGGGTGAGCTGTCAACTTTATGACCCCACTCTGCAAGTACCAATTTCAAAAGAACTGAAGCACAGTGACAAATAAATAACACTGGAATGGTATTCCATTAAAATGTGCAGGATGCAAAATGCTCTGTAATGGTAAAAATCAAAGTACACCAATGCAAATTTTCAAAATCTTTTGATATTTCTTAATCAAAAACTGACATTACAAACCCTTTAATCAAATGTTTATTTTGTTGTTTCCAGCATTACAATTTTCTGTCATTCATAAACTTCGATCTAAGTAAGTTGTAAGACTCACAAAGGCAGTGAGGTCCTCTGGTCAATCACACATATTCACAGGATAGAAATCAGCCAGCCACGGTTCTGCGTGAACAATGCTCACTGCTCTCTGAACATTTCAGAGTACGTATAAGTTCTTTTGGTGAACTGGAACATCGCTGTAATTTTCCACTACATTTTCAATTACTGAATGGCTGTTTGTTTTTTCCGTTGATACCTTACAGTTATTAGAAAGCTACTTACATAAATGATATCTTACACAGTCAATGCATTATGGTAAATGCCTATTCTGTAAATGCAGGAAACTTATGTTATAGACAAACTACTGACGGTGATATTATACAAAATCATGACCAACCACAAGTTTCAGTATCAGAGATTCACTTGTCTCTCTGTGGGTCACTTGAACATAAAAAAATATCCACGGCTCAAATTTACTTAAGTAGTGCCTCTCTTTAAATAAATTAAAAATAAACTACTATTCTCTCTGCAAAATTATAAATAGTTCTAGGCCATTTTACAGAATATTAAAATGTTTGTAAATGCATTATCTATTAAATATTACAGCACTGGAGCCAATTAAGAAGCAAAACAAAAAACCAATGTTTATACTGGCCCACAGAAATATCTAGGGTTATTTTATAATGCCTACTGTTAGAAAAATTATTATCAAACAGGGGGAAAAAGCAAAAAAACAAATATTACAAAATGGCTACCTACTACGACCTAAAATGCCTTTATTCAATTCAGTAACTAAGCCATTTCTGGAATGAGAGAGTACCTCTTAGTGCTCAGGGATTTAGAAACAATGTCCATGCTCTGTAAGAAGACTGTGAAATGGAGTGATGGTCTGAAAATCGCACACCTAGACCTGACCAGAGTATTCAAGATTGGCAGATTCTGATGGAATAAAATCTTCAGTGGCAACAACATTGAAAATCATAATCCTATGGATATCACTTATGTGAACAGTGTGAAGAAACACAACATGATTGCAAGGTACAATGTGTTCCGAAGCCTAAAATCAGAAACTATGAACAATTTAAGCAACAAAAATGCTCCCTTATGGAAACATAAATACATGATTTCCATATAGATTCAATGTGTCGTGTGTCTCCCCAAAATAAGCCTGTTGACTTCCTCTTTACATAAAATCTGTCCACCATCTTAAAGGAACGGCTTCTGGGTGACATGGCCTTCCTCACGTGGGAGAGGAGGTTAAGAGGCTGACATCTCAGAGGCTTTGCAGGGTAACTTGGCAAATTTGTTTCCAGTCCTCCTGACACAGTGATTCATTCCATCACATTTACAGTATCTCCAAATCTACATGGCGGACATCAGGATTTCGTTTCTGGAAAGAAAAATTACATTATTCATGACAAAGTAAAATACTGTGTTTCATGTTTTTTTATCACTACAGTTATTTGTAACAAGTCACTTAAAATCATTTTTAGACAAACTTTAATTTTTTAGCACTCAAAAGTGGGTGAGGAGAACAAACAAGATGGGGGGATTGGGTGGAAGTGCAGTAAGGAACTCCGTCAGCAACAAAACAGAATACCCCACCACACAGGCTCAGGGGATGGTCCAAGACCTCTGACCCACATATAAAGGAATATTTATAAGGTTGGAAGGCTTACAGCTGGGGGAATTTGTGGCAGAAGCAAGAAATCCATTGATTTCCAGTTGGGGATGCTCAGCAGCTCCAGCAGCCGCCATCTTGGGTGAGACCACATGGGGGAAGGATTGGGTCAGCCACAGATGCCTGGCAGAACCACAGAGATAAAGGTGTGGACATTCTTTTCTTTTTGTATCTGTTCATTGGTCCCTTGCTGTCTGAGCACCTCCATTCTGGTGACTATAGGGGTGCCTGAGCTAGTGGACACCCCAGCCCCACCCTCAGAAGGTTCTACTACGCATGCGCACAGATCTCCTCCAAATTCAAAGAGACAGTTTCCACATAAAACCAAGTGGCCACATCCAGCCCTGAACTGTTTATAACTAGAAAAAAGGCCTGAAGAGGGATTGTGGAGCGGGACAAGCAGACAAAAAAGGAAATAGGCTGTAAATTAAATCCTAAGTTATATCAAAATCACCAACAGTGGCATCTTGAAATTTCTCAAGAAGAGTGAAAAGGGAAGCCCATTTCCTGATCACATCTAACTGGAGGCAATCAGAAAGCATAAAAAAAAAAAACCCCAAAATACATACCCATCTAAATATTAAGACCACAGATAACCCCTGAATATGCCCAAAAAGACAGAAGCAGATGACCGTATCTGCACATGTCCAGAAACGAGATAAAGTGACTGAGGCAAATGAGCTGGAAGTAGAACTACACTCCATACTGGAAGATGGGCAGGATTTGGAAATGCCGGAGAATGAATTCAGAAAAATAATTATAAAATGTATCAGAACACTATTCAATGGAGTTGAG